AAAGCCACGTGAATAAAACTGCACCAGCAGCTGTTCCAGAGCTGGTCCTTGGAGGATAACACACCCCCTCCTGGCCAAGCAGTGCTCTCCTCCTGTAGCATGGAATTGAGACTTCTGAGTGTCCAAACACAAAATACTTTGGGTTTTCCTGGTTGAAGTGGTTTGTGGCAGGTATTCCCATCAGGAGCAGGCTGGATCTGCTGCTCCTTCACTCTGGGCACCTTCTCGTGGTCGTTGTGGAAAGGGAAGTGCAGGACTGACCCTAAAACTCACCTTGGCTGTTTGATGCAGGGCCATCAGTGAAGGCTCAGGTGGTGTCAGGGTGTGTTTTGCCCTCGTGAGAGTGGAGATCAAGAGGCACTTGAGGGGAATGCAAAGGACAGCCACCAAAATCCAGCTGCCAGGACTTTCCTAAGCCCTCCATGCTCGAGAAGACACAGAGATTATTATTTTATTTCATGCTCTATTTGAAAAATCACTTGCATTGTCCATCAGGGTGGAATAGTTTCTTACAGCTGACAGAAAAGTGCATTGTTTGGATGCCAGTTAAAGCTCCCCAAAATCAGCTCAGCTGGGAATTAAATAACAACGTTGATTTCAATATTTTGGAGAAATGCAGCATTTTCAGTCTTCTTGCCTGGAGCATCCCTTGCATTATTTAGTGTTTATCTAGTGGAGATGCCAAGGCAAGTTGCAACTGGATCTCCATTAATTGATCAATATTGTGATCAAAACCATTTTGTTTGGTTTCTTTACCTGCTTGATCCATCCAAGGGAACAGTTTGTCTCCTCCATGGAAAACTGCTCTGTGTAGGCTGCCAGGGAGGAAGAGAAAAGGGGGAAATTCCCTTTTATCACTGTATTTGACCCTTTAATTCCACGAAAGGTGAATTTTGCTCATGGCCTGAGGAGTAATTGTGGGTGTTTAGTGTCCTGCATTGCTTAATTACCCAGCAGGAGAATGGGAGACTTTCTCCAGGACGAGAAATGATAATTAAGGAACACATTTACTACTGAACCCCAGGGAGGGAGGGGCAGCCTCCTCCTGCTCTGGTGTCAAGGATTGGATTCCTTCTCCTCTCAATTCCAGCCTTCCTCAGGCTGCTGTCCTGGCCAACCTCTCCTTTGTGTGCTCTGAACCAGGAGATCTGCTCTCTCCTGCAGCAGCTCTTTGGTAATGAAGTCCCTGCTGGGCTGCTCTGGGATTGGTAGAAGAACACGGTGTTTGAGGAGGAAAAGCTCTGGAAAAGCACTTTGGGAAAGGGCAGGAGGAGCAGCAGAGGTGGCTCAGAGCCAGCAAACACCACCAGCCTTGTGGCTGTCCAGGGGCTCGCTGTGCTCTGACCCTCTCCCAGGCTGGGCACTTCATTCCTGAAGCTCTCCCAGGCCTGTCCAGCTGTGCCCAGAGGCTGCAGGGCTGGGGCAGAGTGTCCTTCCAGGGAACCCTGTGGGGCCAATCCCTGGTAAAACCCAAATGCCCCCCTGCTGAGGCATCCCTTGTGTTCCTGCAGGGGTTCCTGCCTGTGCCTGGAGGAGGCTGTGGGGCCAGAGCAGGAGCTCCACTGATGCTCTGCAGGACAGAGGTTGCTTTCACTGGA